CAATTTATTGAACTCCCTATGGACCGTAAATAACTGATGGTGATATATTTAAAAAAAAAAAAATATACAAGACACTGATATGAATAGGACAGAGACTTATTTTCATACACAGGTTTTTTTGCGAAAAAAAAAATCACACCATCGAAATGACAACACAAGTAAGCATAGCAACCGCATGTGTACGTCACACAGCATATATCTACATGGTCACACGAGTGTATGGACATTTATCAAACATGATATGCAATTTATTTCGAACCTAGTCACTGCTGGAGTTCATAATCATTTAAAAAGTACATAAAATACACTTACTATTTCTGTTTCGATCTTCAAAATTATCGCAGAGTGACCTCCCTTTTCAAACCAACACAATTAACCAGTCGCTTAGTGAACCAAATTGAGCGGGAGGGAGTGTTATCTTATTACGTCACAGATATTTTCATTACGTCAAAATTGTTGTCTTTGGTATTTACGTCATTAAAACCGTCAAATATCGCAAAAGAAAGAATTCCAAGAAAAATGTTAAATATTTTTGGCTACAATCTCAATAAACACTTCCTGTTTATCTCCTAAATACAACTACTTTTTAAACAAAGTAGCACTCCAAGTTCATGGGAATTTTTTTTCTAGAATTTAAGATTCTTTCTTAATTTTGTCAATATCTAAGTTCTGCAAAAAGATTTAAAGGGTTTGAAACAAAGTGTATCAAAAATATTCAAATATTGGAATGTTTTTCAAATACTGCTATCTTTCAAACACTCAGTATCTCTTAAAATGCCAATAATATTTTGTTTATTAGAAAATCTGAGATGAAAGGAATATATTACCAGTAACCTTGGGGATCATACAAGCACAAAAATGATTGTAGGGAATTATATTGAAACTTGCATGCCCATCTGTTAAAAATGTCACTGTCTGAATAAATCTAACTTGCTTGCATAACTAATATCGTTAAATGAATATGGCTAATAGCTATGTTTTACATATACAGAACTTGCAAGAAGTGTGAATTCGATTGATAAAATTAATGTAAAAAAGAAATGCTGTATTTAATTGATAATCAACCCTTTTAATAAATGGGTCATTAAAGTCTTATTATTAATGAAATTGCAAATATTTCATGATCAGTGATTGAAACATTTCAAACATCACAGGTATCTTTGAAATTTGTAGTTTAATTATTTTGTAGTAGCCAGCTGTTTTAATCTTTTAATCAATTTCTTGATAAAATGAAGTTGAAAGAAGTTCACAGCATAAATGTTCACCAAAACCAGGCAGAAAAATGTCAGTTCAAACAGTATTCTTAATTCTAAACCAAAAAATGAACAAAAATGGCCAAGCAAGAGGGGTAAAAAGGATAGAGAGATAGACTATAAATAGAAAATAGAAAAATGACATTCGTGTTTGCCTGCTTTGTGTGCGGGGAAATGGAATGTTTCCATCCAGTCTTCTTCTAGTTCATCTGGGAGAGTATAATGGATGAGAAGAAGCTTTGGAAACTTCAAACTAGGTTCCAACCAGTCAGGTGGGGATGGTAGAAAAGTTTGCCCATTGGATTTGATAGGAAAAAAAACCCCAAGGTCCATCCATATACTTGCTGTCATGCACAGAAACAATTGACAGTTGGAACACAAACTTTGCTATGCATTGCACACCTAACCACAGAAATGACCAAAGTAAGTAATTTGTGTTAATGAGATGTTAAACCACATTCCTCCTTTGAACTAACTGGATTTAAGACCTTGAAAGTGTGCTTTGTATATAAAAATATGGATGTCAGATCTGAATGTTTTATATTTTGTATACAGACTATGAATAACATGAATAATGTCCTCCTGGTGTATGGTTCTGTATGCATGTATAATAAATGTTTTTCTAATGTAATATCAGCTTTTTCTACTAAATCTGTACAGTCTTGACATTCCTCTATACACAAATTACGAAGTGCATCCGTTGGAAGTAAATGATACAAGTTTATGATGTAAAGATCATTGTAAGGTGAGCTATTGATTACTGTCTTTATTACAAATATGGATATTTTATTGTTGATTTATATATGCAACTCTGAGTGATATAATATAAGTGTGGAGGGAATGAATACACATACTGAGGCCAGACATCACTTTAAGAAACCACAAAACAGTTGTTTTCCATGATTACATAGAAATGTAGCATGTGATGTTGACAACATTGTACTTATATATTAGGTCAGGTTGAAAATAATATGTTAATTCTATTGTTCATATTGTCTAATATGTATATATGCAAAAATCAGGTGGTTTATGTAGAAATGTAGTGTATGATATTGACAACATCAATTTGAGAATAATATGTTAATTGTATATTCCATATTGTTATATAGAGGCGAAAATCATATGGCTAATTTCCCAAGAGAAACATTATCCCCCTGAGTTTAGGTGTATTTAACATGTACAGGTAATTTCTAGATGAGATATTCATGGGCTTTTATTCCCACCAAATCACTAGACCAAATGTAAATCCAATAAAAATTACTTCAGGCTAGAACAGACAAGCTATATAAATCCCCCCAAAATCCTTCTTAGCTGCCACTTAAAGAAGCATTAAAACTTTGGAGATATTCACTGGTGGTTAGAAAAATAGTTTTCAGTTCCCTATTTGACTATACAGTTAAATTATGTACAAAATTTGAGACCAACTTACAAATCCGTCACTGAGATGTAGACGTGTAAAGGTTCAATATGAGTGGTGAACATTTAAGTCAATAACATTTTCAAAAGTTTATAAGTGGGGTGTAAGATATGCTTTTTCGATCATACATCTGTCGTTGAGTGTTTTAGTGACCAGAAAACAAATTTTGATATGCGTCGGCTTACCCAAAATGAAAGGTTACGTGCCCTTGGCATGCTACAGATCGGCACAACACAGGCGGTTCTGGCGCGGACGATGAATGTTTCTCAGTCTGTCATAAGCAGGCTATGGTCCAGATACCGTGATACACAATCTGTACAGGACAGACCACGCTCAGGTCGACCAAGGGCGACAACTCAAGCCCAGGATCGATTTAACCGTACCTTGGCCTTGAGAAATCGTGTCATCACAGCAAATCAGATCAGCGCTTGTCTTCAAACAGACACTGGTGTGAGAGTGAGTGGCCAGACGATTCGGAATCGACTGCATAGGGGTCACCTTCGCGCCCGACGTCCTCGCGTGATCCCTTGTTTGAGAGATCATCACATTCAGGCAAGACGTCGTTGGTGTAGGGATCGTCAACACTGGGATAATCGACGCTGGAGCAATGTGATGTTTTCAGATGAGTCAAGGTTCACTGGTTTTTTTTTGGACAGACGTAGGAGGGTGTGGCGTCGTCGAAACGAGCGCTTCCAAGACGTTAACGTCATCAGACATGATCGATTTGGGGATGGTTCTGTTATGGTGTGGGGAGGCATCACTGTTGCTGGAAGAACGGCTTTACATGTTGTTGCAGGGCGGGTTACAGGCCAGTACTACCGGGCCAACATCTTGGCAGTCCATGTTGTGCCGTTCGAACGACGTCATGGCGGCCGTTTCATCTTCCAGGATGACAACGCAAGATGTCACAGGGCCAGGATCGTTACAGGTTACCTCCAACAACAGAACATCACCACATTACCTTGGCCAGCACTGAGTCCCGACCTCTCCCCCATCGAGCATGTCTGGGACATGCTTGGACAGAGGTTACGTCAACGTCCTGCCAATGTCCAAGAACTTGCTGCTGCGTTGCAACAGGAATGGGACAATCTGGACCAAAATGACCTTAGACGTCTCATTAGGAGTATGCCACGTCGGATCAATGCTTGTTTGGCAAACAGAGGAGGATTTACCCGTTACTGACTTGGTTGTGATGCTGTGGTAACTTTGCTGTTTGACCCCGGGTATCATTTTACCCTTATAATGGTCAGTCTGTGCCTTACTTAGTCTAACGATCATTTGGAATAAATCGATGAATGTGAACTTCATTTCATTTTGTCATTTGTTTCTTCGTCAGTTTCATTAGGTGACTTTAATAACACTTAAAAATCAAATATCCCCTACTTTTTTTGAATAGTATAGTTTAAACCTTATTTCTCTCTCTATGGAGCAGAACAGTAGGACGTTAAACCCCATTTCATTTCATTTTTTTCTCTCTCGCAAAAGTTCAGAAGACGCCTCTAAACAATGTTGTATGCCAGTTTTTATATTTTTAAGACTAGGGTTATTTTGAATATATTACGTGATATTAATTAACAGTTACATTTTGATGGAAGCTCTAATTCCTCTTTAATGATTCAAAACCATCTGAATAAAGATTATGTATAATTAAACCCATTATCTATTTTATGATTAAGTTGATTAATTAAAGTTATTTGTAATTATGCCAATATAGTTTTTATTCAAGCACACAAGGATTAGAATTAAACATGCATCCACTTTCCCCACATCTACAATCCAGATTCGTCATTGGTTGTGTTGTTTCTTTTTTTATTCCGAGATTGGATTGATAATCCCATTCTGACATTTGTCACTTTAAGCACTTCAATTAAAATCAAATACGCTTCAAGCACATTTCACCTCATTACCTTACAGACATTACTTAATGCATATCTAAAACATTAGGACATGGATTTTTTCCTTTAATGTATCAAAATCAAAGTTCCACATTTCTTATTTAGTTTGTTGAGTACAGCATTTCTAGGTAAGACCATGTAATTTCTCTTGCTTGTAAATTGTGCTTAAATGTGGGCTATTTAACTGAATTTTCTGTTATACGAAATCATTGATTTGCCTTTTTAGCTGTTTTAAGACGCAAAGAAGTCAAAAAGAGAAGTGATGTTGACTTTTACGGTATAGAATACTAGTATCTATAATACGATATGCTTGGTTAAGACACACAAATCAACACTCCTTGACATAAAAAACCTGAGAAACTTCTCAAAGAAAAGGGTAATTAGAGCTTTGAGTTTAAAAGAAATAATACTAAAAATATATTTAGGAACACTTACCAGCAACTACAGAAATGAAGATAACTTGGAAGACTAATAATATTTCTATTTGATAATGTTTGATATCCCAGCACTTCACATCCAAAAATAACATGGTGTTATAGTCAGTTTTAGAGTTAACCAGATTTCCGCAGCGCAGTTGTTTCTCAGGCCATGTCGTGAACTCCAGTTGAAATGAAATATCGTAAACTAAATCCCATTCCACTTTGTAAAATATTTAAGAGTAACCATAACGAATTTGATCGTATGATGGATATAAACATCAAGGAAACCATTCAGAACTTTCCATGAATTCTTATCTCGAAGATAGTAAGGTAACTTGGATGAAACCAATCTTGTTACACACAAATTATACAAACGACAAATCATAAAATCCTGGAAGCTAGAACCAATTTTTTTCTCCAATCCCTTGGGGATTTGTCAGACAATATGTTGGTAATTACCAATCTTCTTCTACTTGTTTGTTTTAAAATATTCAACACCTGCCAATTGTGAGACATATGTATATGTTAAAACATTAATTCCACATCAATTGTCAAACAGCTTTATGTCTGTCTCTCGTAACTTCCTAACACAGGTGATTGTTTAAAACCACTAATCAATACCATGTCATCATATAAGGTTTCTAAATTCTTGATCACTGGCTTTCTTCCACACCACTTAAAGGTAAAATTAAAATCCTCTCCGGTAGCAAACAAGCTGAGCTTTTTCACCGAAGATGTCTGGTCAATATCAACGAACATTGGCTATGAAAGTATTTCATCACAGTTAGCTTTGGCTTTTCCTACAGTTAGTGTAATGAGGAATTGAAAGTTTCACACTTCTTCTTTACTTAACTGTCTTCAATTATAAATGTGCTGAATCAATATTATCCATTGGGGGGAAGTCATATAAAAAACTCTTGTTTTAGCTCATTCTCTCTGCATAATGTCAACTGTTCACTACTGTAACAGTGAGGCATTGAGCTGTATTTATTGTATATTTGTAATCACGATAAATATATCACTTGTCTTGTTAATAAAAATTTAGTACTTCATACAACAGATAGCTTGATTACAGACTTTAATTGAATTATTTATAATGAACTACTGCACGTCGAATCGATATATACAGGATATTTTATTATTTCCGTCTTATACACATAAACTGTGTCCCAATAATTAGCTTCTATTCCTGGACACTGTTTGTTAATACTATATCATTTTCTAATCCTCATCAATAAATTCGCACCAGATCAGTAAATACAGGAAGTTTCCACAGCCTTTTTCTCATCCTTCATGCGTCTGAAAAAATTACTTTCAATGTAGAAGTTTTCGTCAATGAATGAATTTGAATTCGTTCTGTTCCTCGACTTAATTGCTCCAATATGAATCAAGGAGAGAAGAATGATTAGTATGACACTTGTCAGCTCGACCACATTGAATCAACTCCGCCAGTCTTCTGATATTCCAAATGCCTGCTTTCTCTCAATAAAATATTGACTTTCACACAGTCACCTATCCTGACTGCCTTCTCTTACTTTTCATGCCTTTTGGCTAACTTCATTGATGGTTGCATGAGGAGAGAACGATATTGTTATGGTATATGCCACATGTTTAATTATTGGCAACTGTTGATAAAAAAAAAGAAATAAGTAACCTCTTGCACCGCCAATCTTTTCAGTATCTTCATTCATTTGGAGGAAATATTTTATAACTAGTTTATGGTCATTATTAGTGAACAGTTCTGATTATAGACGTTAAACCAGTAAATGTCACTTGTCGATACAAGTAGTTTGCTTCTAACAGTTATCATAATCATTAGACGTTGGATTATTTTATCATAAGCTGTTTAAGTTGCCTGGCAAAATGGTCACTTGAGAGGATATAAGCTCGGTCATGTAAAAGCTGATTTTGTTCTTAAGTGTGTTATTAATAGAAAATGAATATGATATGACATAAATGTATTTATCATTTTTGGCATGATGTCCAATTTACCCCTATTGACATTTTCATTGTGATACATGAAAACATTTAGATAATAATATTTACATAATAATTTAGATTTTTAGATAATAATCTAGAACATTTAGATTTAGATAATAATTTAGAATGTTTAGATTTAAATTTATGATTCTAAGACAAATCAGTGATTTGACCCCACCCAAAATCATGATTTAAAGTTTCCCCACCTTTCAATCATAAATCTGTAAAAAGAGTTGTTGAGTGAATATTTTAAAACATCGAAAGATTTTTTCTTTGTAAACTAAAACCCTAACCAAAATTTCAGATTGTAAAATTTGAAGATGATTTGCAGATTATGACTTCATGAATGCGATAAAAGACAAAGATCTCTCCAACTTGCTGGCATGGTTGATTTTGGCAATAAGGACATCCACAGATCTTACATACCGGGTATATGGTAGAGTTAGATAAACAATTCCAAATATATTTTTAACAAGGAAATCTGATTTGAAGATTCAGGAAGTGACACAAAAAAGGATATAAGTTATTGTTCAGACAGGAGTAGAGAGCATTAAAAGCTACATTGACGATTTTCAGCTGACTGATAATTCCTTTGATGAAGAAGAGTTGTTATATGAGACTGTGAGAGGATATGAGTTGGAAACTGACTATTCATAAGAACTGATTGCCACAAGATTGGAAAATTTCTGATTTTTTTTTCTCATAATGTTCAGTTATATAGATGGCTAAATAACTATACCTGTTGTTTAATAAAATGTAAAATTGAATATAAGGGTCAGTCAAATTCCAAGTCCATGAAATGCAAAATGACAAATACAGTATAATCTTGCAGTTATGGAACAGATATAAATTGGTCTTATTAAAGGAGTGTGTCTTTACACCGAGCTGGAATCTCAGATATCACTTGAATCATGGTTTGAAAACTAATCCTAGGCCCTTAGGCAAGTAAGAATTACTGTTCTCACTTGTAATACCATAATAGTTACTGTACCTTTTAAGAAATAGAAAAATATTTTGTTCTTTAAAAATACATTTATATACTGGAGTGGCTTGTAAGATTATTCAGGATTTCACTGTTTGTGGTAAGTAGATTTTATCAGTGGAGTGTGCATAGCGTGTTCCAGAAGTTTAAACATACTTTGACATCTATCCACCTATTACTACTATTATGTAAAATTTTACTATTATTATACACATTTCTATAGGGCATAACTGCCACATAAATGTGCTCATTTGTGCTTTACAAAGATATATATAATAGCAATTTACATAGGTTTGATTGAATAGGTCTTCAGTGATAGTGACAAAGACATACCCTACTGATTAGCTATGTCCCGGTTTGAAGAATTGAAATTATGAGGCTTATCATATCATATCTTAGTCGAATACTAAGATTTTGATTGTCATTATTGTCAGTATCTTGAAAAATGAAAAAAACCTTCATAACAACAATGTTTGTGTTCATGGATCTCTGCATTTAATTTTGGATGGTGCACTATCAGTTGACAGCTCAAACATTCCAATTAGTATGATAGTTGCTGAAAAGCATAAAAATGCAAGCTGGGAAATCTATTTCATTATTCATGGCAAAAAGTATTATCAGGAAATCTCTACTCTGTGAATTACAGGCCATTGAGGTAACGGTAATATCAATTCAATGATAAACTACATTTTATATGAACTTGATATGATTGTATCAGTCAAATCTCCATATTTTATTCTGTTTTATCTTCATTGTCATTAAAATGAAATGAATGAGGTTTTATGGTTCTTTAAGTGAAAGAGGTTATCACACTTTTGATTTGACCACATCATTCACAGAGTTCAATAGTCCCTATTCATTTTTATATGCCCACATTTTCATGTGGACGTATATTGTCGTCGCCCCTGTCCATCCGTCCACAATTGTTTGTGGACACTCTACAGGTCACAATTCTTATTCGATTTCAACGAAACTTGAAATATAGGATTATCTCCCTAAGATCTCGCGTTTTTAGCTTGAGGTCTCTCTAGAGGTCACAATTATTATCCCATTTGAAAAAACGTTTGAATATATCACCGTTACATCCTAATTTTGGCTGAGTTCAAATTTCGTAAAAATCAGACCAAAACTGACAGACAAAATGGTCGCCTTTCGTACGCAAATAGTGTATAACATCTGGTATATCAATATTATCTCTAATGACGGTTGAGTTTTAATTTCGTGAAAATCGGAGTGAAACAGTATAAATGTATGCAATACCAAAGTTTTGGACTCTTTTATCCGATTTTGCTAATGACGGTTGAGTTTTAATTTTGTGAAAATCGGACTGAAACAATGACAGCTCCTTTACGTAAATAGTATAAAAGTATGCAATACCAAAGTTTTGGACTCTTTTATCCGATTTTGCTCAAAATTAAAATATATCTCTGTGGTGGATGGATGTTTCGGCTTAGGATGTGTTTCAGCCTGTGAACATATCGGCCCAGAGAAAACCAGTGATGCTGGACAGGGGACCCTACTCCTTGTTATGTACAACCGGGGAATTGAAACCATGCCGGTTGACTCAATGACAGACCTTATGATACAGTGCACACACGCTAACCATTCGGCCATCCAACCCCAAAACATGAAAAGAAAAGCAAAGTCAACACTCAACAAGTCAAACCAGATTTTCACACATGCAAATTCCCAGCGTCTTTTAAGAAGAGTTTGTGCCCAACATAGACCAAGAGAACCCCAGATACTACAAGAACTTAACATAGATGGTTCTTGGTTCATGACAACTGGCTACAATCCACAACCTTTCTTACAACTTGATGCACTTATTTTTACCACAAATGAATCTGTTGAAAAATATGCCGAAACATCCTTTCTTTAAAAAAAAAGTGGCCGAAAAGTCCTAGGACAAAATATCCTAGGCCGAAATGTCCACTGGCCTAACGTAGAGATAACTAGGAGATAGATGAAACTGGATATAACTTTTTTAGCCATCAGCAAACAGATCATTTTTGTTTTGGAGTCCAGTAGAATGGACTAGGTCAAGATGTTATAGTACGACTCTCCTGACAAATCTTATGTCATGGAATATTACCAATTTTGGCTTTTGTTGTATCAATGTGCACAACAGAAGCTAGTACCAGGTCTTTCTCTCTTCTCCGAGAAGAGATGGAATTGTTGGGGCTTGTATGACTTGAATAATGAAGATACCCTGTAAATTTAGCAATTGCAACAGGGTTCCCGCGGTCCTTGAAAATCCTTGAATATCCTTAAATTTAAAATTTCATTTTCAAGGTCTTGAATATCCTTGAATTTCGCGGAAATAGGAAAATATCCTTGAATTTCAGTTCAGAACCTTAATTGTGTTTCAAATGTCTTCAATTCCTTTTAAATATGAGATTATAACGATAGTTGGTAATGTTTTGGTTATTTTTAAGATGAAAAATTGTAACTTTAGGCTAAAAAATGTCCTTGAAAATCCTTGAAATTGACGTATATTTATCCTTGAAAAAATGTTTGACGAAGCCGCGGGAACCCTGTGCAACTGTATGTAGTAGTCCCAAGTTTGTAATGACAGATTGACACTAGCTTCACTTAACAAAGGTTAAAGGAGGAATAGATATGGATACTGGTTCTAGTATTGCAATGACATTAGCTTCACTTGTGTATAATGGATCATAATTAATTTTTTATTTGGACCATGCCAAAACCTGATATCCACCATGTACTAGTTGGTGTGCATTTGAAATATATCTAGACAGTTATAATTTAATGGGAAATGATGTTGTCTGGGCATAATAGACCAGAGGGTCGAACCTAGGCAAACAAGGTACCAATATCTGACCATATAGGCATCTACATACAAACCTGGGATGTACAGAAATGGGTGTCTGCCAGGGCCCAGTCCCTGGGTGTGGCCCTGGTGACCCCTAGAATGACCCCCAAAATGGGTTAAATTCATACATTCGAGGTACCGGTCGAAACCAATTTTAAATGAAAGAGTACATCTCACCGAGTACGAAATTGACGATA